GCAGCACGAGACCTGCAGGCATAAGCCCCACAGCGTGGACCAGGAAGTGGACGAACGGCAGGAGCGACGCGAGGAAACCCAGCTCGGCGGCAGGTGCTCGACAACCGGTCTGAGCAGGTGCACAGCACGATTCGCTGGATCCCAGGCAGAGGCTTGGGTGCAGGGAAGCAGGAGAAGAGCGGGGAGACCAGCCCTACCACCCCGGAGACTGATGGGGTGCGTAGGGGGTGTAACTCCTTCAAAGCTCCAGGATCTGCGGCTTCCATGACACAAACGGGACGGGGGCAGAAAGCAGGAGAGGAGAAGGGCTCGACCACCACAGGAAACGGACTGGATGCGCCAAAACCCACCCAGAGGCTTGACCACCCCGGAGAACAGGTAGGATGCGCCAACACCCTGGGCCAGAATCTCCTCCTTCTAAAGGAGAAAAAGCAAAAAATAAATCCTCCAGAGAGCAGGTGTTAGCTCACCACAGGTCCCGATTTGGTCAGATCATTCTGTCACGGTGTAGGAGGTGGAGATGATGGACCATGTGTGGATGAGCTGAGCAGGAGGTAAAAATGCAGGCTTCAGTAAAAGTAAAAAAAAATGGTTTAATGGCAGGATGGGATGAACAGGAACACCAACAAACAACAACAATGAACTGACAAAGGACAGGGGCAAAACAGGTGGTTTAAATACAGAGGGCTAATTAGGGAAACATGGGCAGGTAAACGAGGGACAGGTGAGAACAATAAGGGTAATCATGGCAGGAAAGGAACACAGTCAGGTGGGCAGGGGCAGATCGTGACACCTACGGTACCGCCTAGACGCGCGACGGAGCGCTTCACACCGCTTCAGTAATTCCTTTAACCATTGAGCTTCATCATCTAGGTCTCTTATGCGTCTTCGTGTGCGCAGAATTATGCTTAAGCGCCTCGTGATTTTTATCTTGAGAGGCGCTATAGAAATGATATTTTCTTCTTCTTCTTCTTCTTAACATGGGTCCGATTCTCCCCCCCACCCCACCCCCCGCCGCCGTCAGACATCTGGAACTTTTCCCTGCTGTGTGAACGCAGCCGAAAGGACAAGTTCCGGTACAAAAGTGGTGTGTCTGAAAACACAGTTCCGGTTAAAAACCGGATTGAATTGTCCGCAAATGTTCCAGAATGTCAGTCTGAAAAGGGCTTGAGTGTTTTTCCCATCTATTTCCTACCAGAAGCTAATACAGGATGTAGGGGTAGACTATTTTCATGTTCAGCCTGCAAGTTAAACTCAAAGTGAGTGATCCTTTAAAAAAAAGAAAGTAAGAACGGTTCTTAGGGAACCTGCTCTTTAAAAAAACACAACATATTGTCTGTTTGTGCCTAGATGTGCCCATTCTGCCTTTGCAGTGAAGTAAAGCTTGTCTTTATTCAAGTGTAATGCCAATATACCTTCCCCTTGCAGCATGTTCCTGTATCAGTTGTACAACTCCTCGGTTACTGTGTCGCCTTAAGTGACCTGGATAGCACAGTAAAAGATGTCTGGAGGAAAACATTTGGATGATGAAAGTGAACCTGACACCTTTGCCCATGTCCCTCCACATCCCACACCTTCATCCGCCCACACACACCTATACATGTATACAGCATAAGCCAGAGTTTCTTCATGTCTTTTCTTCAAAACAGCCCTAAAAGCTTTCTTCTTGGGGGTCCAGCTAATGAAGGCAACCTTGAAAGCATTGTTTCTGCTCACAGATGTAAGCCAACCCTCACAGGGACCCTGACCAGGCAAGAACAAACGGAGAGACAAAGAAAACACACTTTTTATAGACTGCATAGTACAGGACCTTCAGCTTTCAATACGTGCCAGAAGCCATTGCCGTCTTCTAGGACTGTAGTCTCTTTATGCGCTGTACTTTTCTTCCTTACTCTTAAATGTCAGTTGTTCAGGTGGAGGTGCAAAGCTGTGTGTTTCATATAGGCCCTATTGAATGAAAGGTGGGATATGTATTAAACAACTCTCTTTATATGTAAATTTGCAGAGAAATCTATTTCCTTTGCAACAGCGTCCCGTTCACATGTGTGCATCCATGCACACAAACATTTCCCTCCCTAAAAGCACAGGTCCCCATGCTTTAATGAAACTGTTTTCTCCTTCATCCCTGGTGAGTGATTTCTATTTACTTTGTTTACCTTTCACGCCGTGTCTGGCATTGCTGTTCTGTTTCAACAAGCACGGCTGTGACTTTCACTTATGGATGTAATCCCACCGTTCATGCATTCATTCATTTACTACTGCTTATCCAAGGTTGGATTGTAAGCAAACAGATCCAGGAGAGAAACCCACACATCTCTTTCCCTGGTGACGCTCTCCAGGTGGATCCCATGGTGTCCCCAAGCCAGAGAGGATGTATAAATAAGTTCTAGGCCTGTTGTGGGGTCTGCTTCTTGTGGGACTTACCCAAAAACATCCAGCAGAAGGCATCCTAATGAGATACGCAAACAACCTGGGCAGATCTACTCCAAGCCCCGCAATTCCTTACCCTGAACCTGACCACTCTAAGGAGGAAGATTGTTTCAGCTGCTTGTCCAGGATCTTGTTCTTTAGGACAGTATCCAAATTCCATGACATTAAGGGCAAGAAGGAAAGTCGACAGATCAGTAAATGAATAACTTTGTCTTTTGGCTCAGCTGGCTCTTCACCGCAGTGGACCATAGAAACTCCCTCGTTACTGTAGACAAAGCCCCATTTCTCACCCCGCCCTGCTGTCACTCAGGAACATGTTACCAAGATAAGTGAACTCATTTGCTTGAGGCAAGGACTCACCTCAGACCTGAAGGGAGCATTTCCTCTTTTTCTTAGTACTTGTTATGGCTTCTTTAACATGTCCTTTGAACAGATAGTAGTTATGATACACAGTTTCCTAAGTCTCTGGTTCAAAATGATTTATTCCTGTAAAACGGCCAAAGATTTCATTAAAATAGTCAAATGATTCATTCTGGTCAGATATGCACTTACCACCAGGTTTCTCTTTTGAAGAAGCTTTAATACAACAGCAAATTCTTTAGAGGCAAGATGTGTAATCTGACTCAAACACAGAAAGATCACATCCAAGTATGTCTTTGTGTCTCTATTTATTTTTACCAATTTTATCTTTGATTTTTTTTAATGGACCAAACATGTGCTGCTTCTTTGTCTTCTGGTATTGAACGGTACACCTGCCGACCCCTGGTAGTCATGCTGCTTAGAGGTGACAGGGACATGAACTTTTGGGGAGCTTTCTGGTGCGAGGGTTTGTGTAGTTGCTTTACCTGCTGGCTCACCATCAGCTGCATACACTGACCAGTGCTTTAGGGATCACTGTGAATCAAACAAGCTGCCATGACCTACTGACTGGAGGGATAGACAGGGAAGACGAGAAAAATAACAGCAAAAACAGGACGGGGACGACGGAAGAGAGGAAGTGTAGTTTAGGTATTAGTACGGAATGTTTTCACTAAGTGCAACTGTAAATGTTTAAACTCTTCAAATAGTTTAATATAACCTTTGAGTGAATGAAGCATGTGATAATACATTTGTTGTAACCAGATGAGTGACGTCTGTGAGTAATATATCTGATAGTTACACTATTGCACACCCAAAGTACACCTTTTCCTAAAAAAACACCTGTCTCTTGTTGTTTTGCAGCCTTTTATTGCAGGACATGTTTAATGGGTTGTCATGTTTGATAAAGCTGTTCTGACTCACTGAGGAGTTAATGTCCAAGAAGAGACTGAAAATAGTCGTTTAGCTCCTCATCTGCGCATCTTTCAAAAAGACAGGTCTGTGGTGGACCTTTCTGTCTGACCACAAGAAGTGTGTGAGGGAAGAATGTGACTGGAGCTCACAGTAAGATTGAAGTGTGTTTCTGTGACTCAGCAGACATTGTCTGCTAAAAAGAAGCTTTAAATCCAGCGTTAGACATTTTCCCTGTTAATGGGCTTTTTATATCCACCGTAAATGACAAAGTCTGAGGTTTATGGTCTCTTTCCCATCCATGCATAGACATATCTAGTGGAGCACTGCTCTGTTTTGCTGATGTCTGATGTTAGATGACACTGTTGCAGTAATTGCATACTCCAGGCAGTAAATCTAACTTTCAAGCATCAAGATGATGTTTTACTGATTCGGTTAAGAATTTTATGGATTTAAAAAAAATCAATTTGAATATATCTAGCTTAGAAACATGTTTTAATCAATTCAAAATGATAAAAACGGGCAACAAGTCTTGATTTTGGAAATGTGTTTTGAAAATAAAATCATAAAAGACGATGAGTCCAAGCAGAATCACAACCGTACCATGTGACATCTTTAAAAGAAATTGTATAGTTTTGTATCAAGGCCAAATTAGCAATTTTTGAATTTTGCTTTTACTTCATTCATTCATTCATTCATTCATTCATTTAAGAATGGCACAAGCTCAAAATGATTTTTTTGTTGAAGAAAATTTTTTGTGATCATAGATGCTATATTTTAATAGGCAGGGAAACTATAGGTTTAAATTAATTAAAAAATATATTTTAAATGTACAGAGATACTTTTCAAATAATCAACCTGCATTGTCAGCTTTGCTGAGGGTTACTAAAATAGTATCAAACAAATAACATTTTACCCAACTTATATTTGTTTTTTGTAAAATGTATAAATTACATATTTGTTAGTTTGTAAGAAAAAAAGAAAAAAGTGCTGTTTGTAAAGCAGCACTGAACAAAATGATCCACAGAATAATTTTGCATTCAAACTTCGTTGCAGCCTCATGTAACTTTAATTCATGCAGGTCTTTAAGATCGTGTTTAGTTTTCTTGAGGTAAAAATATCTTTGAACTCCCCATATTTATAGTTTCTGATCATTGTCATTTTTTTCCTGTGAATGCTTGCTCTTCTTTCACCACACCTCAACAGTTTTTTGCCAAAAGATTTCTCCTGATCAACCTCAGGCTCTAAATATGAGACAGATAATATCTGGCCTTGAACTAAAACTTTGTTTTGCCTTTAAGGTCACGGAGGGAGAGAAGAACCCCAGCGAGAGAAAACAAAAGAAGGTGGCTGTCCTAGCGCCACCTCCTGTCATCATGTTCTCAGGATCCCACAAAAGCATCACCAAGGGCCATCGCAGGCAGAAGAGGGATTGGGTGATCCCGCCAATCAACGTGGCAGAAAATTCTCGGGGCCCGTTCCCTCAGATGCTCGTCAGCGTAAGTGACAGACTTGATTGGTCGCATCGCTGATTTGCTCAGAATTTACAGCTGGGATTTCTCGAGGGCACTTCAGAGCTAACACTGATTGGGGACATGTGTAATGAAGGGTGGTAAAGAACTGAAATGCATTAGCATAACTAGTTTGTTCCCCACATCCTTGAAGATGATTATGTTTTTGTCCCCTGATGTAATTACAGCCACAGTATCTTTAGGTATTTAAACAGCCGTGATGGATCTGGAGACATTTTCCCCTTTAACTCTGCAGCTAAGCAGCTAAACTCCCCCACAGAGACATGTCCACTGAGTTCCTGTTTAAACAGATTCTTTTTCCTCTTTTGCATTTGCTTTGTATTAGCAAGGCTGCTTGGAGTTTTGTGCAAGGATGTTTTCTTTTCTAGATGAGTAATATGTTGGTTCTTCTGAGGTGAGCATATTTCATAGGTTTTTACTATTACGCCTATTCTAGATAACTTTAGAGCTTACATCCAACCGGACGAACTAATGTATAGTCCACATTCAGCCAAGACTGAAGTGAATTACTGCCGTCTTGAAACAGCTCAGATCTCCTAAATTCCATAATTGTTTGTATTATATATCCTATTTTTATTACTTTTACAACAATGTCAACCTAGAGTGTAACATGTCAAACATGGATCAACATCATTACATTGATCTTATGGTCAGTGTTCCAAAATGCAGAAATTGATTAAATAATTTTATCAAACACTGTCCTATCAGGTGACCCTCCAAGACAGGAGGTGGTCAGGCGGTGGTTCAACATGGCTGATAATTTATCCCTTGGCAAGGGTGAAGTGGTGCCCTCCTAAATAAATAAATAATTAAAATATAAAAAAGCACCTGGGGCCCATCTGACCCCATTAACAATGTGGGAGGGTTAAACGTGGGGAGTTTGGTAGGACCAAGACCTCTGTACCGCTTTGTAGGGGTTGTGGTCCGTCATCCCGCAGATCAATAGGGAAAAGCAATGCACTACCAACACTGTTTAAAGTGGGGACAATGTGTTGCCGACCTCAAGTCGGGATGTTGTGAACCAGTGGGCTTCAAAAACCTCCTCAAAGCCAGTGAGGAAGCAGAGACTGGGGTTTGGAATGGGCTCTCTGGTGCTGAGGACACTGATGTGGTTGGTGGCAAGGCTCCAGGGATGGATGGGATCCACCTGGAATTCCTTAGGGCTGTTATGAGGCTGCGTTGGTTGACACAGCTCTGCAATATTTTGTGGATATCGGGGGAAGTTCCACTGGATTGACAAACCGGGCTGGTGGTCTCTTTATTTGAAAAGGGGGATTGCATGGTGTGTTCCACCTACAGGGGGAGAGGACGGTACGTCGGATAGTCAAACCTTAATTACAGGAGGAGCAATGTGGTTTACGTCCTGGCTGTGGAACTCTGAACCAGCTCCATACCCCTAGGGGGGCCCTGGGGGGTACGTGGGAGTTCACCCAACCAATCTACATGTGTTTGAGGACAGTGTTGTGGAGTACCGGAATACTAGTACTGCCGTTACGTATTTAGAATACTAATTATGAGTAACTGTATTCCAGTACAGTTACTATTTCCAACGATGTATTTAGAAAACAGTTACTTTCGTAATATCATTGGAATACTTGTGCGTTTTTCACTTTTCACCCAAAAGATGAATAAAGAAATTCAACAAATAAATAAAGAAATTGTCGGGCAGTGTCTGCGGTCCATTGACGGCTCTCAGCTCTCTTTCTAGTCTCTGCTCTAAGCGCGGGGTGGGATCTATGGTCTTTCTCCGCATGCTATTGGATACCAAACAACCAGACGTACTCACCGCTACGGACGTCAAGTCAATGATGCGGTCCACCCTACTCCATCAAAAAAGATGCAAATATGTCCTTTTCGAAATAAACTTAAGTACCTCCATCCATCTCCCTTTGACTCAAAGAAAACCCCTAAGTCAAAAATAGTCCAAAGTTGATGCCAAAGCCGTTTCAAACGATCCACCGCTATCTTTATATTAGTAACATCCCGTCCACAAACAGAGTGCTGTGATTGGCCCACCAAACCAAAACAGCATTGTGATTGAACCACTACGGAGCAGCGGCCATCTTGGTTTACTAACTTGCAGGTACATCCCACCCATTTGGCTGACAGAGTGCTATGATTGGCTCATCAAACATATAGAGCACTGTGATTCGACTGCTTTGGATGTCTGTCAATGAGGCAGTCCGCCATTCCATCTGGGAAAAACTACAAAACACATAAAAAAATGAAAATAATACATTGTTTTTTTCTAAATAAATGTGCTGTGATTGGCCAGTCCCAATTATTTTGAAGCGTTTTGTCTAGATTACATTTTCTTGCAGAAAGTAATGATGTGCAATGTTCAAGCACTTCTGTTTCAAGTAACGGAATGCATTACAAAATACATTTTAAAGCAAGTATTCAGTATTCTGTAACTAAATACATTCACAAAGTATTCTCCCCAACACTGTTTGTGGATTTGGAGAAGGCATTGGACCGCATCTCTCAAGAGGCCATGTGGGGTGGGGGGTGGGTTGTGTGTGGGGTACTTGGGGGGTATGGGTGGGGGGTACTTGGGGGGTATGGGGTACCAGGCCCTCTGATATGGGCCGTTAGGTCCCTGTATGACCGGTGTCAGAGCTTGGTCCACATTACCAGCAGTAAGTCAGGTTTGTTCCAGGTGGGAGTTGGACTCCACCAAGGCTGCCCTTTATCATCGATTGAGCCTAGGTGTTGGGGATCCGTTGTGGTGGCCTGAGGATCAGATCTCTGCTTTTTGCAGATGATGTGGACCTGTTGGCTTCATCAGAATGTGATTCTCTGGAGCGGTATGCAGCAGAATTTGAAGCAGCTGGGATGAGAATCAGATCCTCTATGTCCAAGATCCTAGTTGAGACGGTTTGAGAATCTGGTTCGGATGCTTCCTGGATGGCTCCCTGGTGAGGATTTCGGGCACATGCAACTGGGACAAACAAGTGTCCAAACCTCAAATTGTAATTCACAGTTTTGATATCTAATGTAAACTCTGTAACTCCACACAAAGGCTGGTCAGCTATCTACAGCAGCTTACATTTGAATCATTTAGAACATTTTTAAGAAAAAGATTTCCATCATTATGAGTGAAATATCTTTTTAGGTAAAACAATATAAAATTATATTTTCCTAAAGCCAGAACCAACCTAATTATAGTTTTTTTTACCCTCTGTCCTGTAACACAAACGTTCAGAGTTTGAATCTGAAGTAACAAAATAAAAAGAGATTTTACAGCTGCTTTAGCTGCATGTAACATAACCGACAGCAGTTTGATTCCTTTAAATGCTGAGTTTTGATAAGGGGGTGATATAAATGCAACATGTTGAATGCCGGAGGTCAAGTTTGTACACCTGTGGAAGGACAAAAGTCATGAATAAATGCATGTTTGAACAAAGGTTTTGTTGTGCCGAGGCATCCGAATTGCAGTAGTTTTAAAATTCAGAGATTCAGTTCCAGCAGAAGGACGAGTTTGTCTCCCTCACAGCAAAACCTCAGATATTAAGCCTGTGGTGCACTTTGTAAAAAAATTAAATAACCTAAAAGCCTTCCAAAAGACAGTTGCCTCATTCCCTGCTCTGTCTTTCCACAATTCTTTATCTGGAACATCTAGCCATCAGCTCTTCCTTGCTGCTTACAAAACTCCTACGGTTTATCTCTTCTGGCTTTTAAATTGCACAATAGAAGCTTTTTTTTTTTACTTTGATTTCCATCCAGGTTTTATGCTTTCCCCAGAGGAAAGCCTGGGGAGCTGCTTGACGAGAACTTACATTTCTCACATTGCGATACAGAAACATCAAGCCAAAAAGAAGAGAACTTGTAAGTCTTGAATTGGAGTGCTTCCACAGCTGGAGCGTGTCCTATCACCCTGGCTCTGTATGGCATTCTCATCTAAGCTATCTGAGCTCTTCAGTAGCGCTATACTAGCAAAAAAAGACTAGTTGGATAGTTCTGTGTTTTCCTTGAAGTGGTCAGGATCAGAGATAGACAGAGCTGACAGTGCAGAAAGAAAGACAGAGGGTATCAAAGGAACATTTGGAAGTATGATGCGTAGCCAAACACAATCCATTTTGTGCAGTAAATAGGTCCGTCAGGGGCTGGTGGATTGCCGAGAGTTGAGCATTCAGAGCAGAAGAGAAGTGATGCATGCTGATGCCTCTGTTCGGCTCTAAGGCTCTCGTCTTTCCTTTAATGATGACTGGAGGGCAGGCGTGGGGATACTGAGAGCAGAAGATTTCAACAAACAGACAGGAGTTTATGGCATGGAAAGGATTTAGCCAAACTTTTTGTTTATGTGTTTAGTCTGTTTAAATAACTTTTATTGTCCTCTTAGGCCTGTGTGCATTGTGCATCAGTCAAAACAACTAACAAACAGAGCTGCCAGTGGCGATCATCAGCGTCCAAGATTCTGGGAGATCTCAAATATTATAATTAGTTGAAGTTAATGAGCACTTGAAAATTAAATATACACCTAACATGCCTTCTTTATCTGATGCTGTGATGATAAAATATGGATTAGACTTGAGTTTCAGTCACCCGTAATTAAAAAAATGATCTGTTTTTGGTATCGTGGGTTAAGCTTATGTCATCATTTTGTCACAAACGTGCCGGTGAGTGAAGCGGAGGTGTGGATCCACACGCGGGTGAAGAAGCAGGCAGGTAGGCAGACAGTAACGTTTATAAACACGGATTTATTCAGAGACACGTAGGACAATGAAACAATGAACCAATTAGAAAAAATGGACTAACAGGGTTTAAATACAGGAGGAGCTGGGACCTTGGGCGATTGGGAGACGATAGGCATGTGGGAGCAATTAACATGGACACAGGACTGAACAGAATAGGGAGACAGGACAGGGTGTGACAGTACCCCCCCCCCCCCAAAAGGGCGGACTCCAGATGCCCACAGAGCAGGGCGGGAGGAGGGGGGAGGAGGGGGAACCGGAGGGAGGGCCGAG